CCCCAAAACCCCAAAACCCCAAAACCCCAAAACCCCAAAACCCCTTGCCAAGTAGATATATTGATACTCAAATAACTTAATAATAACTAGTCTGGCTTAACTTTCCAGGTGTCTTATAGTCAGAGAGTACAACTATATGTCATTCAGAAAGTTTACCTTTATCGAATGAGTTCTCTTGTATCTTCAATGCACTTGTATTAGGAGTAACTCTTCTTCTTGATCCTGACTTTTTAGCCTTCTTGCCTGAGCTGTTCTCCAAAAATGACCTTTGCAGGGATTTTACTGTATCTCTTTCCTTTTTGAGATACTCTACTTGTTTCTGTAAGCTATCATTCTTTTCAATATAAGCTTTTAGCTGTGAGTGGTAGTCAGTGATAACATCTGCTTGGTTGTTTATTATAGACTCAGCAAGTCTGTTGTCCTCTGAAGGAGCTAAAGAGTTAATGTAGTACGTTACCTCTGGCAATTCTCTTGAACAGTTTTCCCTTCTTGAGATTTATGTCATGGACTCTTCTCTGCATTTTAACCAGTATGCTCATATCTTTGAAATGATTTACATGGCTCTTTTCCATCTTAGTGCCTACTTTAGAAGGAACCTTTTTGATGGATTTAGAATGGGATTTCCTTGTGCTATTTATGATCATAGTGGCTTACTTCTGCTTTCTTTCAATCTTTGTTACAATTTTTGGCTCTACCTTTGTCTCAATCTTTGGTTCATTGTAAGGCTTATAGAAAGTGATATTCTGGGGATGAGGTTTTGGAATTTCAAATGGATCCCCACTCTGAACCCTGTTTACTTTCCTTCCTGAGCTTGCTGTCTGCCTTGTTAATCTGGCAAGAATATGATTCAATTTCACTTTCTTCTTTGTAGTACCTGGTTGGAGAGGATTATATTCGTTGGTATAACTAATAGAGAGAGGCTGTTGCTCCCTCGGTTTAGCTCTTCTCTGGTTATATTTAGACTTCCTCCTTTCATGCATATTTTTAACCTAGAGTATTACTTGATAGGTGATACCTCTTCTCTTTCAACTTTAGTAAGAGTATCTTTCTTTGTTTTCCTTTCTCTAGAATCGAATGTCATACCAGTTTTCTTTGCAGATTCCTTTTTCTGTTGGTTTAGAGAGATATCATTGACGGATAAATTCTGTTCTTCCTCAACAATTCTCTCGTTCTCTTCTCTTGCAGTAACAACCTCATTGGACTCATGATCATTATCTTGTTCTTTGATGACCTCTTCACTTAGAGAAAGCTTGAGCATCTCTTTTTGGTTAGGAGCTATTGCTGTAAACTGTATCTTACTGATCACTGTTGTGTTCCTTCTTGCTCCAGATGCGTTGAAAATGTTCTTAGGGGGGTCAATTTTTCTATAGAATTAGTATAGATAATCTTACACATGAGTATGTTTGCTATAGAGACCCTTGAGGAAAGATTTCACTTCTAGTTTGCTTTTGGTAGCAGTCCTGGCCTGTTCAACATTTTGAATATCTAAGTATCCCAGGTCCATATCAAGCTTATAGATATTGGTAGAGAGTGACTCTGGATTTATAGTGTGTCTCCTTGCATGCTTTAGAAGTGCTTTTCCTATTCCTGATCTTTCTTTTGCAGACATTTTATTCTTGAATTTATTCCCAATGATATAAAACTTAAAGGGGTTTTGGGGTTTTGGGGTTTTGGGGG